ATTTTTTCTCAAAGTCGAGTTAACGAAAATCCAGCGGATGGAGAGGCTACTTTTCGAGGGAGGGCTCCATTAAAAGGTTAGCTGTATTAAAAAAAAGTTAATCAAAGTTGTAGCAAAAGCAAGGGGATCATTAAAAATACAGCTACCTTTGCTAATTCAATTAGCTCGCCCCCCACCGTGCCCCTCCCAATCTCACCGAGTCGGAAGGAAAATTTCAATTACAAAATCCAACGTCGATCAGGGCCCCTCTCATCACTCCCGCGAGATAGTTACATGTATCCCGGAACAAAAGCACCTTCAACATCCTCCGTTCTTTGATGATAAAAAAGCCAGGTGGATTAAAAAAAAAAAAAAAAAGTTCATTTAATTACCTCACGCGTCGAGCTTGTACGAGAAAAGAGGGGGGAGCAAAAGATAAGAAGCCAGTCTCTTCTTACTTCTTGGACTGGCTGGTATTTATACAATATACACAGGGCAGCGTTAATTTCTCGAGTTCGCGCGCAAGTGGAGGAAGAAAAAGAGAGAAGCTCTTTTCGAGCTTTTTCCCGCGAAGAGAAGCTTCGAGGCTCTCGTAGGTGAGTCTTCCAAAGAGAGAGAGAGAGTTTCCATCGCCAATCCAATTAACGAGATCATTGGATGTCTCCATGTCTCGTAACACATGGGAACTGCATTCTTGGATGACGCACGCGAGACAATCACAAGTCGAAAGACCCGCGTGTATATCAGGAAAATGCAAAGCGCTACGCAACTCGCACGAGGATCCGCATAGTTCATATATTGCGCTCTTTTTTTTTCAAAGAGCCGACGTTTTCCCGTCCGCGTCAAAAGACTCAAAGGGACGAAACAACGCCCACTCTTTTTGCGCGTCCAAGTCCCGGGGAGTCATTACGTGCGACCGTACGCGCGCGCATCAAAAGGTATACAACGAACACGAGCGCCGCGTCCTTTTTTAACGAGAAGCAGAGGAGGACGAGTGACGCGTCCTCGAAAGAGGGGCTGCAAAGTACACCCCTGTTTTAACTCGACCACCTCGGATTTTGATTAATCGGCATAGTTTCTCGTCGCCACGATCCCAAGTATGTATATAATTAAAGCTCGAGAAGGTATACGCAGGTTTCGCTTGACTTGGCCTCTTCGCAGCTCTTTCATCATTGCGCGGAATTGTTTCGAGAGCTTCCCTTTGAGAGCGGCACACCCAAATGTATATAATCCGCGGGTGGGTGGGCGACGATGCTTTTGTGTCGCCGACTGGACTGCGTGGGTATTATCCTCTTCCAACCTTTGACGAATTTTCTTTTCCATGTACCGTATCCCGTGGATTCTTATCATGTACTCGAGTGATGGTTTTAATTAACAACGTTGGCGGCTGCTAGATCGAGGCCAGTTTTGAAACGCGTGGCTTCAAAGGACTCCGGGGCCTCGAGAGATTAATTAATTCAAAAATTATTCGATTCAATCGTTTTTTTTATTTGACAAACGATTCCGAGAATACATGGTCCGGATGGGCTCCAATTGACGTTCATTAATCAATTTGCCGATAATAGCTATTCACGAGCCAATCGAATGTAACTCCATGATTATTGTTACGGTTTAATTAAATTGGATATGTATTCGACTCCACGTAATGTCAGACTACCCTTATCTCCGATGTACAGCGTATTATTTGCAATGGCGTTTCGCCGATGGATCAGAGTTGTTTGAAAAAACGAAGTATCGTTTGCTCACGGTGATTTTTAATAATAAAAAAAAAAAAAAAAAAGAAAATCGAGATTTATCGGCGTCCGATACGAGCGGAGGGTATTTGGTTTATTTGTTTTGGACAACTGCACTGGACACGTCGACACAATGTCGTTTCCGGCGATAATTAACTAGAACGGAGTGACACAACGAAATGGAGCACGTGAAATTGCATTTGCGCAAATGTCACTGCGGCGATTGTTTGATATTAATACATTTTCAAAAAGTTTTTTAATATTGGATAATCATATTTCACGATTAATCAATAAAGTAAACCAACGAGTCGACGTAAGGTGATGATCGATGGAGTTTAATTCTCATATAAAATTATCAAACAACTGGATGAAATTAATTGACAAATCAATCGAAAGTAATTTTTATCCCAATGGACCATTCTAACGTTCTCCTTTTCATTTGCTAATAAAAAACGGGCACGCCTTACACCGAGCCACTCTAGAAAATCGTCGGAAAAATGTTTCGAGCCTCGATCGTGCCCTTTCAAAGTGGAGGGAGAAGAAAAATAACAAATTAGCGGCGCTGATGTACCCCGATCCCTCGGAAAAATGATCCCAGCGCTGCTATTCGACCGTAGCCGATTCAAGTGGCCTTGAAAATATCCCCATGTGGCCACCATATTTCACGCTCTCGAAACCCTCCTCCACGGTCACATCCTCGAGACGCTCTTCTCTTCCAGCCAAACACTCTAGCCTTTTTTTTTCCCCTTTTTTTCCTCTCACTCTATTTCTTCTCTCGTCTGTAATAGCGTACTTGCCGTATTTTTTCGCTTCGATACATACTCGAGCATCGGCATTCCTCTGATTATATATACATACACACTTTATGAAATTTCCAGTATATACCTATATACTTTGCACGTAATCACGATGATTACGGTGGTCTGGACATTCTCAATCAATCAATCGATAAACGATGGTTGAATTGTCGAAGAGGAGCTCCGATACATTTACATGTATGTATCAACCGTGGCAAAAAGTATGAAAAAAAAAAAAAAAAAATACACACACACATAAATGAAAGAGCTCAAAGAGTCTCGGTCGCGATTAAAAAGTGCAGAGTAGAGAGCGCAGGGCATATCTTTTTATTTCTTCGGGTGATGGTGGTGGTACAGTACACTCGCGTTTCACGGGCGACGGGACAAAATCAGGCCTCACGGAATCTTCTTTTTCTTCTCCCCTTCAGTCGAGTTCGAGCTCCTCTCGAGCCAACCGTACACGGCCAAATACAAAGCGACCGAACGGATAAAGACGGCGCTTCCGCAGAGAAAGGCAGAAGGGTATACGAGAAAAGCCCCACCTTAGCTTCTTCTTTCGGTATATATATATTTTATTTTTATTTTTTATTGAAATTTTTACGATCGCGGTGATTGTGCCCCATACGAGTGTGTACAAATACGCTTCTACCGAGATTCGATTTTTATCTCTTTATTCCCTCGTATTGACTTGAAGTTTAATTATCGTTTCTACCTATTCCTCACGTTATGATCCTTGGACAAGGCAACATCTCGAGACTTTTATAATACGTATCTTTTACACATCTATAGGCAAAAAAACGTTTTTTTGTTCCAAGGCCACTCGAGTAAAATCTCGTATTGCAAAACGTAAGGTACACCCTGAATCGCTCATCATAGCTTGAGCAAACCAATCGTATTTTTGGAGCGAGTGAATCCAAGGGTCGAAAGATGCTTCTGCCGTTGATCCTCGTGGCGTTACTGCTAAGGAGCGAAGCGAGCCCGGTGACGGAAGACCCCTTCAAGTCGACCACGGAAGCGAGCCTCTGCCCTTGCCCGGACAACTCGACGGCCAAGCCAACCTTCGAGGACAAGGTGTCGAATATGCTCATCCACGGGATGACCTGCGTCTGCCACACCGACCCGGTTTGCGGGGCCCACAAGATGCGGGACGATTACGTGTACTCGCCGGGGGTTGGGATGCACAAGCTGCACACCCGGGCCGCCACTTGGAACGAGGCTAGGAAAAAGTGCATCGAGGAGGGCGGCCACCTGGCCATCATCAACAGCAAGTACGAGGCCAATGTGAGTACATTTTTGCATCCATTTTTCTTTAAAAGGATATACCTGACGCGTGCAGCATCCGGTGCGACAAAAGGGCCCAGAGCATCTCTCTCTCTCTCTCTCCTCCCATTGTTAATCCCGGCTAGAGAGATCACCGCTATACTGCCTTCCCCCACCCGCCCCTCTCTCTCTTTTTCTGCTATTGTAGGCCAGAGCCCCACCGTCATAAACTTGTACGAGCTGTGATGGTTCGGAATGTTGCCAATTTCATATTCTCACAAAGTTTTTAGCCTAAGATGAACGTGTAGTCGTATCGATGCCTATACTGTACATGATGGAGTAAAGAGGTATACATTAAGAGTAAAAGGTGATTTTTTTTTCTTTTCTTTTCCATATTTATTCCCACCTCTTTATCTTCGGAGCACTCGTTGTCTAAAACGTATACAAGATGTAACGTATACTCGATGAAAGTGAAAAATTTTTAAAACACCCAAGCGTATATTATTTTACTTGCATGTTTATTTTCCTTGTTGGCAGATAATGAGGGACATATTTACGAGTGCGGGGCCCATAATCGGCGCGTCATACGTCGACCTGGCGTACGTGGGTATCCACGATCTGTTCCAGGAGAAGGACTGGGTGACGGTTCTCGGGGACTCGCTCCACAAGACCGGCTACACCGCGTGGTCGGACAAGTGGGGCGGCCAACCCGACAACGGCGGCCAGAACCAGAACTGCGGTGGCTTCCTCAAGGAGGGTGGCCTCGACGACGTCAATTGCGGAGTGCCCTTTGCCTTCTTTTGCGAACTACCCATCACGAGCTACAACCTACACTGACTTGGGATATATACGCAAGAGACTCTCTCGAGTGCCTTTCTTTGTACTCTTTTCGTTTGGTGCCATTTTTCACCAGTGCAAGTGCCGAGTGATGATTTTTTTTTTTTTTTTTATTCTACCAGTGCCTTTTACCTTTTTAGTCAGCAAAAAGTAGTAGAAACCACGCGACTGTATGAAAAGTAAAACATAAAATAAAAACAAAAAAGACCCCATTTCGTATCGTACAAAAATATCGAGTTTCATTACACACAACACATATTATGTGATATATGTATGCTGTGAGCGTAAGGTTATCATAGGTGGTCACTTCTGCAGCGAGTAAGTATACATGTACATAGTGGCAAGCGCCAGATTACACGGTGGGAAATGTACAACGAGTTTATCATCAGTCATCGGTATCTCTTTGCGCGGAACTGGAGACCACTACATTTATTTACGCACATTTTCGCAGCGTCCCGTTGATTAAAAAAAAAAAAAAAAAAAAAAAAAAAAAAGAGAGATGAACCCAATCTACCGTCTCATTGCGGTCGCACTGCTCGCGGGTCAGGTGCAACCGTACAAGCACCAAGCGAGCCTGCACCTGTGCGCACGCAACGGCACGGTATCGGTCGAGGTCCACGGAAAGCCGAGGAAAAATGGCACGAGCTGCCAGTGCCAAGCAATAACACCCCAGCCGAGCGGACAGTCCCGGCTCGTGATGAGAGACGACTACGCGCACACGCCCGGGGTTGGGTTCCACAAGCTCCACACCGTCGCCAGGACTTGGAACGATGCTCGCCACGCTTGCGAGGACGAGGGCGGGCACTTGGCCATCGTCAACTCAAAGGCGGAGGAAGAGGTGATTGTACATATACATTATTGGTATAAAAACCACGAGAGACTCGAGTATCTACTTTTTTTCTCCCCTCCCCCATCACGCACTCCAGGCCATGCTGAACGCGTACAGGAGCGCGGGTCCGATACAAGGGGGCTCCAACGCGGACGAGGCGTTCCTCGGTGTACACGACTTTTATCGGGAGGGCGAGTGGGTGACGATTTTCGGGGAGTCGCTCGGAGGTAGCGGTTACGCGCGCTGGTCCAACGACTTTTGGGGCCAGCAGCCGGACAACAAGCACAACAGCCAGCACTGCGGCGCGCTTCTGTTCAGCGGCGGACTCGACGACTTCCACTGCCACGAGAAGCTGGCCTTTTTCTGCGAGTTACCGATCCACTGCGCTGATTATTGATTGTGGTTTTTTTTTTTTTTTTTTTTTTTTTTGTTTTTTTTTTCCCCACGAAATGTACAAGAAGAAAAATATTGTATAAATTGATTGTTGGTACTTTTTTTTTTTTTTTTTTTTAATCATTCCAAGTTTATCGGAGAATGTTATTGTTTCTCGGTGGATGTATAGTTTCAACACGGATAATCTCTGCGAAACCGCAACTGCAGGCTGTGCTCAACTGATTTACCATAAGTGCAGGCGAGGAGAAAAAAACCAATTAATTCCTCAAAGTGTGTATATCTCTCGTTCAATATCAGTATGCACGTATAGCCGGTGGAAGGGGAAATCGGTATATGTCGAAGATTGGCTGCTGAATCCGGTTATTGGTAGTGTACAACTGTAGTCCGATGTTTTCCTCCTCTGGCGCGGTGTATTATCTTCTACTCGAGCGCGGAGGACACTCGGACAACACGTAAGTCTGCCAACAACAACCGAATCCTCTACTATCGGTACACTGTTCGTCCCATCGATTTCTCATTGGTAAAATTTATCTTGTCTCGAAAAAAAACAAAATAAATAAATAAATAAAAAAAAAGCAATTTGAAGTGTCGTTTGACGTGTGATTGTGTAAATTCAAAATAAACTGTTTTTTCAAATGCTCCTCCGTCCTTGTGAACACAATCTTTACGTGTAAACTAAATTATTTATAGTCCAAAGTGAATTTCTACTATAGCAGGACCGGAGGTAAGTACACCGAGAGATACGTGTTGATACAAAAAATGTATACGTGACGTTGCAGTGCCTCAAATCGCAACGAGGAAAAAAATATGTCGATCGAGTGCCTTGTCACTGTCGCCGTTTACTATTCCGTGTACCAGTAGATTGGCTCGTCATTGGCAGCAGCCCAGGAAGTGCCGATTAAAGCGACAAAACGATATCGGTAAAGCTGGACGGCGGCTTTTGCCAGTGCGAACCGATTCCCAAGGCTCGTCTGCCTTTGTCCATCAGAGATGACTATGATTACGTTCCGAGAGTGGGTGCCCACAAGCTGCACGAGAGTGCCACGACTTGAAATGACGCGAGAAAGCGGGAAAAGGCGCATCTGGTGATCATCGGTTCTGTGGCCGAGAGGAGACTGCGAGGAAATGTCACTTTGACGTGTCGTCGGTGCTTGTATTTTGAGGGCTTTCGCCGTGTTTTTTTATACGTGATGAAAAAAATGCCCTGACCACCGAGGTAGCTTTCATTGGGGCTCACGATATGTTTCTATAGAAGGCGAATGGGTCACCGCCCTCGGACACTCGATATTCGGTACCAGGTACACCAAGTGGTCGATCGGCAAGTAGCCGGACAACTTTAAAGGGAACCAAAATTGTGGAGCGAGATTCGCTATCTTTTGCGAGATGCCTCTCAAATGTCTCATGGTTTATGAGTGGGAAGATGCGATGTTTCGTCTTTTTTTTTTTTATCAATATATATTTCGTTTATTTTTTGTTTGTTTGTTTCGTCAAGTATCACAATGTCGATGTGGAGGCATTTCTTGATGTTGAGGAATGTCAAGTTTATTTTGGATAAATTTACTAATCCTTCATTAAAATTTACAATCCGCATGGAGCGGCAAATAATAATTTTTGATGTGACAAGATAAATGTACCAATGAGAGCGTCAAAAAGGTCGACAGCCGAGCTTACTTTCAGCCTGATGTGACTGTTTTCATACTTCTAGAGCATCTTTATAGATCTACGATCGATAGTAAACTTATAGGAAAAAAAAAAAAAAAATGTGTCGATACAAGCATCTCTTCGCGCTGTCACTTTTCATCTCGGCGTCGTTGTCGCAAGCCCAGCACACGATGAACTTGAACATGTGCACCAACAACGAGACCGTAGCTCTTACCATAACGAGTAACGGTGCCGAAGGAGGATCGAGTTGCCAGTGCGAGGTAACACCGGCCCAGGAGCCGCCGTCCAAGTTTGGATACATTCACACGCCCGGGGTGGGCTCGCACAAACTGCACACGGAGGCCAAGACGTGGAACGAGGCTCGGAGAATCTGTCTCGAGGAGGGCGCCAATTTGGCTATTATCAATTCCAAGGTCGAGGAATCGGTGAGTCGGTTTTTTTTTTTTTTTTTTTTTTTCCCTTGGCAAGTGAATTTATTTATTTATTTTTTTTTAGGTGCTGGTGGACATACTGAAACGTTCCCAGAGTATAATCAGAGGGGGACTGAATACCGAGGAGGCGCTGCTGGGCATTCACGACTTGTACAACGAAGGGGAGTGGGTGACAATTTTCGGAGATACCATATACAACAGCGGGTACTATCACTGGTCGCCGACTTACTTTGGTGGACAGCCTGACAATTTTCGGGGGTCGCAAAATTGCGGCGCCATCATCAACGTCGGGGGGATGGACGATGTCGATTGCGGGGAAAAATTTGCCTTCTTTTGCGAACTACCCATAGCTTGTACGAGATCGTGAAACGACACTTGATTAGTGGCGATTTTGCTAAAAAAAAAAAAAAAAAAAAAAAAAAATTTGTTAAAGGTTGAATTTGACAACGAGATGTTATTTTATTTTTTTCATACTTTTGTTGCAACTGTATGAATAAAAATATTTTAAAAGAAATATTTACTCAATTATAATTTATATCTTTTATCAAATGCACAACTTTAAAAATATAAAACGGTTAATCCTTCAAGAAGTTTTGCTAAAGTGAATAATTTTTTTTTTCTGGAACCATTATTGCTAATGTATATGACTACAATTTGGTTCGAGTTAGCTGTAAAAAAACAAACAAAAACTTGTTTTGGTTATTTAAATAAAAATTTTTTTCCCATTTTTAAAAAACTTTTTCACTCTGATCAAAATGTAAAGTACTGTTATCCAGAGCAGTCGCGTCAAAAATCTATGCTCTGTTTTTTACACATCAATGTTCGTGTTATTTAACAAAAAAAGAACGATGTTTTACATGTAATGTTAGAAATAATTGCCAACGCATATATTTTACATTTACAATGGCACAACTAAAATTCTTTTTCAACCATCATCTCGATTCGTCAATGATGAATATATTTAAAAGTCAATTAATCATACATACACACGCGCGTGCTGGAAAGTTAAATCTCTCAGTTTTCCACCTCAACTATGTATTTAAGTCTCTCACGACGAGTTTTCCTCAATCTGCCCAGTATTTAAGCAGCGTGCCTCGTACTTAATCTCTCTATCGATGAACACACCGCAAAGTACATCTTTCACGTTATTTTTATTGAAAAAAAATCATGCTATTGTTTGTGTGCACAATATTGATCGTGACGTGTTACAGCGAAATAAAACCAACAACGGCGGGAAGTTCGTACAAAGACCTGAATTTCCGCGTGTGCGCGAACAACGAGTCGTTGGCTTTAAAAGTATCGGTCGTTGGCCACGAAACTGGGGATACTTGCCGGTGCGAAGTGGAGAGACGGCCAAACGCGTCAAAACCTGCACACCAACAGCAAGTCTTGGAACGAGGCGCGCAAGATTTGCAACGAGGAGAGCGCGCATCTCGCTATCGTCAATTCCAAGGCCGAAGAAGCTGTGATTAGCGATAGTTAATTTTTTCTCCCACGCGACGAGGAAGTTGAATAATATGTTTTCTTCTTTTTCTCGCAGGTTTTGATGGATATGCTGAATGAAGGCGCCAGTAAAATAAGAGATGCCGCGAACAAGGAACAAGCGCTGCTCGGTATCCACGACATGTTCCAGGAGGGCGAGTGGCTGACGGTTTTCGGGCAGTCGATTTACATCACCGGCTATTCTAACTGGTCGCCGATTTTCTTCGGTGGGCAGCCCGACAACTATTTGGGCAACCAAAACTGCGGCTCTCTGATAAAATCCGGTGGAATGGACGACGTCAATTGTCGCGAAAAATTCGCCTTCTTCTGCGAGGCGCCACTAATCTGCTAGGAAACGCACTTTCACGAAAAATTATAGCATGTTGTAACACTAGCAAAATAAATCATGTATTCCACAGCAACCGCTCTCACGCCATTCATTCAAAGATAATCGATAGTCACTCACACGCATTTTTCCAATCAAAGATCACTGACTATGTCGGATGTACGATTTTTTCACACGCTCGATTACCTCGATCTCTGGTATTTAAACGAGCAATGCACGTAGCGAATACTCCACCACTGAACGGCAAACGCACCGGAAGTGTGTACTCGTATTATACATAGTTTAAAGCTGCCGAACAAAAATGGCCCATTTATCTGCGTGCGTTTCAACCCTACTGGTCGCGGCCTGCCTGTTTCAAATAGCATCGATTTCGGGATCGGTCGGCAGCACAGAGCTCAGAGTTCGCGTGTGCAGCCACAACAAGTCCATATCGTTGAAGGTGACGAGCACCAGAGACCAAAGTGTCGAAGGTGCTCTTGATTGCCGGTGCAACGTCGAGCCGCTGGAAAACTCGTTGAAGAATCTAGCGAAAAGTGATTACCAGTACACCCCCGAGGTCGGACTCCACAAGCTTCACTTGGCCGCCGCCAACTGGAACGATGCGCGTAAGATGTGCATGGACGAGGGTGGACACCTGGCCATCGTGAACTCCGTGGCCGAGGAAATGGTGAGGTTGTCGACGACGGGGCACCTCATGGGGTATACTCATAAACATATCAATTGTAATTGTTGCAGGTATTGTTGGAAATGCTGAAAAGTAACGCGGAGGGGATAAGGGGCGGCCAAAACAAGGAGGAGGCTCTGCTGGGTATCCACGACTTGTTCGCGGAGGGCGAGTGGTGGACGGTTTCGGGGGAGCCACTCCGAGCCACGGGTTACGTAAACTGGTCGAGGAGCTATTGGGACGGCCAGCCGGATAATTACCTGGGCAATCAGAACTGCGGGGCTTTGGTCGACGTCGGTGGAATGGACGACGTCTTCTGCCACGACAAGTTTGCCTTCTTCTGCGAGATACCGGTAACTTGTTGACCCCAACTGTTTCGGCCCTTGTTCACCTTTTTTTCATTAATTTCTTGTGGAAATAAATATACCGTATACTTGAATTTTATTTTTTTACATAAGAACCACGTGTATATACCTATACGTTGCATGTAACGAAAGCCCTTTCGTAAGTGATACCGCACGCGGTGGCATTTCGGGAAACAGTAGTTAACTCAAGTGCAAGGAAATCCGATGAACTTGATCTGCGGATATCAATGTCGTACCCTATACAGTTGCAACTGAGAATCAGTATACGCATAGTGTAAGTTCTATGAAAGTATTTTATCTAATGCTCCGCAACATGAGGAGATAACTATAAATACGTTATCTTTTTTTTCCTACCAACGGATTGAAACAACGAATATCCTTCGCCAATATCGGTAGTTAAACGTCACCTCGATCAACCAATTATAAAATCACAACCCGATAAATCTAAATTATTGACGCGACGTCAAATTGTAAATGCCGAAGAAAAGCCCATCCGCGTGAATCCTCGCGATGCATCAGTCGCCAATGTATAGAGCGACGGGTCGATGATGCGTATTTTTACATATATTCCAAAAAAAATCCGACCAGCTGAACCTACATCACCATCTCTTATCTGCTCGCAAAATCGTCCCACGCAAGAAACTTCAACCGAATGACTCGCAGATAGCGAGTGCTCGTAAACGTGTACTTACATTGATGTATGTATGTACGAGGGACATTTGACACGGCCACATACGAACACGAGACTTGTCAGGAGCTCCAGTGACAGCGTCATCCTCGACGAGGGTAATGGGAGGGTCGGACAAGGGGTGGGAGGGGGAGCTTAGAGATGTTATACGAAATCACCACATCAAAGGTTAGCCCTGGCATCGGAGCAGCGCTGATGTGCTATGCAAATTTTCCGTGCCGTCGAGCGAGAGAGATGGAGAACATTTCCCGAGAGAATTGCTGCGGCAGGGCAATTTAAATGCATCAGTGTGCAGCATTCGTCGCCAATGTGTGTGTGTACTTGTGAGTTATATTTATTTATTTGTGTCTGTGTGGTGCAAGGCTACTCGGGGCTACTCCTGTCAATACCATCTGCAATATTTGTCGGGCCTGTAGAGTCCGGCGTCGATGGGGTGGAAAGTAAACTATTTACATTTGTATATTATATACATATAGGCTTACGGTGTATGCCCGGTTCAGCGAGTGCGACAGTTTGGCGATTGGTGACGTGCTTTTGAAAGGCACCGGATGATATTCACATCGAAATAAAAAGCTCTTGTCACGGAAAAACCTCGTGATTTCATTTGTCGAGCAGTAATGTCATTTATCCGGTAAAAAAAAAAAAAAAATTTTTCAAAGCAAATGACCGAAAACTTCCAACATAAATCGAAGAGAAAAAAAAAGGTTTTTGCAGAGCACGTCTCTCGTCATTTGTTAAATCAGGGGATATTTTTCAAGCATGTAAATCCAAAGAAACGATATAGCCGCGCGCCAGTCGCCCGCTTCATCAGAACTTCCTTAAAGTTAAATTTTATGATGGAAATTACTCGCAAGCACAGCGCGAACTCGGCTCGTATTTAAAAAAAAAACTTTTTTCTACTGCAAGCTATTGTATCTAAACCGACTGACCTTTCGATATAATACACGTGCAATGTGACATGCGACTGCCGAAATTGCGCCATTTGTTACACGCCGTGTATTATCGGCTTTCACTGAAAATATGAATACGGGTTTTAATGAAGGGTGATTGAATGGTACGCACATTAGTAGTAGAGTTGACAAGCGATTCATAAACAACGATAATTTTTCCAACCGTTTCACCAGCTGTACTAAACTGAACCATGTTTTTTTTTTTTTTTTCTGTTTCACACTTTTTGTATCAACGTGTATTACCGATGAAGCCGGTGAATCGGTGACAACTCAATTTGGTAATTTCCCAAGTATTATCCTCCTCGCCGTCCACAAAAAAACTTGGGGAAAAAAGCCCCGCTTTGTTCGCGCTTACACTTGACTCTGCGCTCCCTCGTCAAGAGGAGACAATAGCCCTCACCGCGTACGCGGGGTTTCGCAATTTCCCGTACGACTTTTTTCTCTTCCGTACAAGTATATATACCAACGCGATCGCTACGCGCCAAACGAAAATTCATTTCCTCGCTTCATAATTTCCACTCCCCCGACCGTAACGAAGGCTCACTTTTAATTCAAGGGCTAGACGTGGTTGATAAACTTGAAATTTCAACGAACGCGCGGCCCAATAACCCGCCAGAGGACCAAAAGTATACGAGCATCGGAGAGAGGAAAGGCTACACAAACAATTAGCTAAGCCCACCAGTTAGGGGTCCATTAACTCGTCCAATCTGATTAGGCGCGGGCAGTGTCGGGTGGCTCAGCTCCAGGGATAGATGAAATCCGGAGGCTGTCCTCCGCCGAAACGGGAGAAGCTTCGGTGACAAAAAGAATTGAAGGGGAGCGGCTGGAGTGTTGACAAAGGAGGTAACGAAAGTCCAACGCATATATACATATATATACAGAAGCTGGTAATTCATATTGTCACACGATGGGGGAGGGGGTGGTTGTCGCGGCCGAGCTTGATTTACCGCTGCCAGATTGGCTTCCCAGCAAAGAGGGAAAATTGAAATGATGAATATTTAAAAGAAGCCGCGGGCCTCGTTGCCATCTCTTTCTTTTCCTCGAAAATTTTTTACTTTTCAACGCGGGTGTCGGTAGTTGGAAGTGTCGATTGCAGTATTTTAAATAATATGGAAAAAAAAAAAAAAAAATACGTGTTGCTTTTCCTTGATTTATTGGAACTACGTTGGATGATATCCCGAGTAATTAGCCCGGTCGTGGCGTGGAATTTCAATTAAAATTAACTGGATTCAAGTGCCGATGTACGCCATGCGAATTTCGATCGTTTTTCAATGTGGAAAATATATGTTCAAAAAATGCACTTTCCACGATGGAACGCGGAATAACAATCAGTTCCACTGACTGTCGGGCAGGGTATATACATGTCGTTTCGATAACTCGTTTGATTCGCAGCACGTGAATTCAGGTGGCGGGGGGAAGGGAAAAAAATAACATTTCGCGTATTTTCGAAAACTCGCTTCAAAAATCATTTCTCGATGCGGCTGCCGCGCTCCGAGACTCGACCCCCCTATGAAACGATTCGCATGCAGATGTCATTTAATTACGAAAATTAAGAACGCGAAACCGAATCATCGCGCGAAAACAAAACACAAGGCAATCGATACCACACACGTTCCGGAGTATTCGGCAAATCGCATTATTATTCGCCGTGCGGAATTTCAACAATTTCGCAATCGAATGCCGACAGCCCGAGTGTAATTGCCCGGACCACTGAACTTTTGCCGTGTAAATCATTTTCCATGCCTCGCCCAAAACAACGTAAAACTACCCAATGTATGCACAAATCATATGCACCCCCAGTGGTCACGTATTTTGAATTTCTTCGTCCTTTTGTTACTCACTACTAGGGGCTTTAAAATCTTTTTTTTTCGCTCGTAAAAATTTGTAGTCTTCCCCTAGCGTGTAAAATTTTTAACTAAATTTGAAATAACCATCATTCGTTCAAAAGACAATTTGATACCCTTCTTTCATGCACTGATCGAATTATGCAATCAACCACTTTGCAAAAGATAAAAAAGTAGCAGAAAATTTTTCACAAAGTAAGAGCGAAACTTTTTAATTGAGTTGACAGCTTCTTGAGAACCATATAATGCAGAAATCAACCCACGATAGTGCATATGTGTATAGGACTTTTTGATATTAAAAATGCGTCGTTGCAAAGTGGTTGGTACACCTATATAATTGAACACGAATAAAAACTGATTACAAAATACGCTTGCATCAAGCAATTTTGATTAACATTAATATTTGTATGTGCTATGTTGTCTTACTTTAATGTCATGAACGTCCTCCTGCGTATACTTTGTACTATAAATACATGCAGGTATATACCTACACAGAAATTATTCAGAAATTACAGTTTCGGATAGTTTGACTCGAGACGAGTGTTGGCACTTCTCTCTTGGTTTACTTTTCAACTTTGACGCGTCTGATTCTCCGGTGCAAAGTTGCTGCACTTAACATCGAGAATCAAGACCCAAGTATACCTGAAAGAGCGATGCTATTGTATATAATATATACACACTTGAACGAGAGGGAGATGACGGAAAACAAAAAAAACGCAGTACAAAAGGTCATCCTTGAGAGAACCGATAAGGATAAACATCATAGACAAGAAATTCAAAACAACGTGAATGTCTCGTATCGCCTGTATGAATTAAAAAATTATATGGATTTCCTCAACGAAATACCTGAAAGAAAAACACTCCCGTTATACCCTGTACGTGTTTCCTCTCAGCTACCATCGTACACACACACACACACCCATCACGTAAGTATTTAAATCTGATTTCAAAAATCGTCGTATTGTATATCGAAACGACTTTCCCGAGGGCAGAGCGACTCGCTTAAAATGCAAATTTCCCAGATAGAAGAAGGGGGAGGGGGGGGTGGCCGGAAAACGGTGGCGCCCGCGACCCCGTTTCTTCCTCTTTTCTTCCGTGTACCCGGGAATTTGCCACAAACGTCTCATGTACCCGCGCTGATGTATATACGTAGGTGCCGAGGAAAAATCAAATCGGCTTCGATCGGCGCTCCCTCCCGGAAGATCGATGAAATCCTCGGGTGCGCTAGTATATACACGCGCCAACGCCGACTTTTTGTTTCTTCCGCGTACCATTCAATTTCGTTACCTCGTAAAGCCGCGCCACGCGTACTTATGTGAAAAAAAAAAAAAAAAAAAAAAAAAAAAAAAAAAAAAAAAAAAAAAAAAAAAAAAAA